TTCATTGTAAACAGGGCAACTTTAAAGTTTGTTGGGCCCATTACCCAAACCAATTCCAGCCTCAGTTTCCCCTCTTATAGTTAGATCTGGTTCAGATTTTACACAATAAGCAACCTGTGATTTGTGTCTGGTTGGAGCAGAGCAGCTTTCGGATACTTTTCTTGCCCCCTCGCCGCCCCACTTGGCCTGTTCTGGGGGTCATTGCTGCCTTTTGAAAATCATTACTCAAACAGTTTAATATCTCAAGGTCAATGCAAAAAATGAGACACATAACAACTGAAATCCTCTAAAAACTTTGTGGGCACCAAAAATGTACCATTTTGTGACCAATTCACAGCACCCTTTTTTATTGGATGCCCTTTCGGTACTAGTACAAAGTCAATAAAGAGGCAACAGAACCATTACAGAACTGTTATTTTATTTGAATGTGTGAGAAATCAAAACATCATCATTATATACCCTCCTATTTCATTTCCACTGCATGGGCAATGTCACCCACTGATACAAAGCCAGGAGGTCTCAAATCCTCCATCGGTTAATTTTGACCTTAGGGCTGAGAAATGGTATTGATTTCTTGTATGTAACAATGAAATTTAGCGTTATATATGAGAAAAAGAGAGAGCTTGGGTTTAATTCTTTAATTTATACAATATAAAGTTCTTACAGTTCATTTTATTTAAAGCTTTAGTGTTTTATGAAGTACCTGCGTAAAGATAGCGACCACTTTGTCAATGATACACAGCAACTTTGTAAAAGTTCTTCTTACTGGTGGGACTTCAGGAACGTTCCTCCTTTGTATGCTTTTGTAGACTGTTTGCATACTCTGACTCCAGCCTGGGTGCTTTCTCTTCCTTTTCCTGTAAAACTTAGGGCAGGACATTGTATAATGACAAGTGACCAAGAGAGAGAGAGAGAGAAAAAAAAATCAATTTGTAATCTGATTTGAGGGTTTTGATTTCCTCTGATGAGTTTAAATTTCATTAAAAGCAACCTTATTCGAACATAAAAGAACTCCTTGAAGGGTAAAACAGGGAATTGTCTCAAAGAGTATAAAGAATCTCAACTCCTTTGTGCTATTTATTCACGGCATTAATTGTGAGGTCCAACAGGCGGTGTCGGTTGGCAGATGCACCATTATCGGCCCCACGATCTGCACGAGGAGGGGGGAAAAAAGGCACAAGGGCTCACATTCAAAACTCATCCTTTGGTGTATTGACACTTCAGTTATCAACAGCCCTTATTATCTGCTTAGTGGCAGATCGCAGCTTGCTGGTGACATAATAAGCTACAAATCACTGATGGAGCCTTTCTGCATTCTCCTAATTGTGTGTATTCTCTAGGAAAAAATTATCATTGGGGCTCTTGTCTTGATGAGAAATTGACGTTTTCTGGCGGAGCCTGGCGAGGACTATGTGGGGAGATAAGACTTATAGTTGTTTTAAAGGAGTGGAGCCATTCTTTGAGAGGCCTCTTTATTGCTCTAGTTGACCCACTTGATGAGTATGGATTTCATGAGGTCTTTTTCAGCATTTGAACTATAAAAGGTTCAGAATGACACCACCCCTTATAGACAAAAGATAACCTTGCCCTTTGAATATATTGATTCTTTATTAACTAGGCTGTTTAATGCAATGAAATGAGGCATTAGATTGAAGCCTATTTCAAGTGCTTTGAATAATCTTTAAAAGCTTGAAAGACTTTTAAAAGCTGCTCTGCAATAATTGGCATATACTTTTAGGGATTTTGTTCCTTCGCTTTGATTAAGGAATTTTTATCATCTTCCTATGCCTAAACTCACTGTAGCTGACACAACATATTTTCTCACCAGGGCTATTACCAAGTTACAGATAGGGATGTGTCATAGGTGGTGGATTGCTCTAGGACGTGGTGTTCCTAGCACAAAATCTATGGGTTTCCTCCTTTTGTATTTCCTTTGCATTGGAAGTTAGACAAACCATTTAGAGGCTCATTATTCAAGCCTTTGAAATAAACCTAAAAGAGAAACGCCAGCAGGCATCACACAGACTTTCATCCCTAAAAACCATCATATTTTTTAGGGGGATGCGTCTGATTATGCCACTGTTTAAACATGATACATAGATACACACTCAAAGAAGTGGAACAATTTTCAATACACAGTAATAATAACAATAATAATTCTAAGTGCTCTCTACTTTTAACATTTGTTTTCATCATACATAAAAATTATGGAAATACTGGAGAAGAAAGGAAACATAGTTAAATATCCTGGTTTTCCTGCTTTGTAAATTGTGGCTACAGTAAGCTGCACCTCCTCATCACACTCCATCACTTAACTGCTGAAACACAGGGTGATGAAGGAAAGAGTCCAGCATACAGCATGTCACTGGACAGTATAGACACATGCACAAGCACATACATTTACTTTGGAACTCAGAGTTTCTCAGTGCCCTCTCAAAGTTGTCAGCAGCCCTGTGATTAATGGCAGGATAAAAACTCACATAACAAACTCCCAGCCTTACCAGCATAGGTGCTGCTGTTGCTATGACTGCTGTGCACGGAGCCAGACCCATATTACTGTACAAATACCCTTCTTCAGTGTGGTCACACACGTGGCATCTGGAGTAAAGAACTCAGACCTGTACTTCAGGCTTAGCTTTGGAACTGTCTCCCACAGGAGCACCCTTTGACTAGGAGGCCAAGTCATCCCCAGCCCAGTGTATGTCAAGTACATTATATGTACATCATACATACTGCAATGTAGGGGACGAAATGTTTGTGTTCAGTCTTATAATTAACAAAAGCATTTGCTTCCTTATCAGCCTTGAAAGACACATTTGTCGACCTTCGGTGTCAAACCGCTGCATGGAAAATTTGGGTTGTGCTATGTTTAAAATACCTTTTCCTGTTTACAGACTTTTACAATATGATATGAAAATAGAAGAAAAATAAAAATAAAAATTAATGTTACCTTCACATTACCAAAAGGGTGGCTGAAGCACAGTTTGGTTAAATACTTCCCCGAGGCTGAGCAACAAGTCATTGCTGAGTTCCAGAACAGCGGTCTCCTTCCTCATCATCTTCAGGATGCATAAACCCACATATAAAGGGCTGTGCTTTTGCTGAACCAAGATGTAGCTTCGCATTCTGATGTTTAGAAATGAAACCCCCAGTGTTGCATTCTTTTGTTTTGTGTTTAGTCACTTTTTTTAATAATCAAACCAGATAAAATTACTAAAAAATGAAATTCACAGACAAGAAATACTTTAATTAAATATTGTGTAAAATGAACATTTTTTTATACAGTTAAATATATGAAAAAAATGTACAGATAAAACAATCTTATTGTAGGGTCTTTAACAGTAAAATCTACCATTTAGTGAAGCTTTCCGTCTGGAGACAATGAAGCGATGAGTGCATTGACTAAGTAATCTAAAACACAAACAGATTGCAGTTATGAAGAAACTTGCAGACTTTCTTAACATGTACAAGTGACCTCTTCTGTAGAGCAAAAAACCTTACTTAGACAAAATATAACGGAGGCAATTCAGTTCCAAAGTGACTTCTCAGGCTTTCCCACTTAGCTAAGCCTTATAGTTATCACACAGGAAATGCGCGCGGCATTCCTCAGCTGGGATTTGCTGTATCGTTCTTGTCAACCCTTCCATAAACGCTATGCTAAAATGTGCATATTTGCCCAGAAATTAACATAAAAAGAATTCAAAAATGATCCCTCCTTTTTGGTTCAAACTTTAATTCTGCTGCAGTTTGCAGCATGTTTTGCAGTGCTGCATTTGCAAACCATTTAGTGCAAAGGAAAAACAAAAAGAAAGGAAAAACAAAACTCCACGTTTCTCTCTATGGATTTGGCACCAACAGCCACGATACATGACGGAGGTCATTCCAGTTTAAAAAGTACAGTCACCTGTGGGTCTGTTACAAAAAAATTCCATAAAAAAACCTAATAAACCTAAATAAACCCCAACCATTTAAAAATTGTGCATGATCCCGATTGATTTCCCAGGAAACCTTTTGTCTGTTTTAAACAGTGCAGGGTTTGGGGGACTGCAGAGTGCAGCAGAAAAGAGACACATCAAGGAGTGACAGAATTGTACACCAGGTTTGTGCTTCTTTTTGTTTTACACCAGAACTCATCCAAATGAAGTAGTATTAACACTTGTGGTGTAAGCCTGTGATCAACCAGCACAAAAAAAGTTCTGCAAAGAAGTTCACTTTTAAGGCATCAGAGAAGTTAATGTGGCAAACATTTTTAATTAAAACGTCAGAAGTGAATTTATTTTAAACTTTAGGCCTCTGAAT